ACCACTTGTAAAAATCAATGGACTGCCTGAAAAACAGAATGGCAATAGACGTCTTTCTCGTTGGTGGTGACAGGATGCAAAAAGCTTGTGTTGCTAGAGATATATTTTGAGTGGACATGAGTGGACCACTTGTAAAAATAAATGGGCTGCCTGAAAAACAGAATGGCAATAGAAGTCTTTTTCGTTGGTGGTGAAAGGATGCAAAAGGCTTGCGCTGCTAGAGATACATTTTGAGTGGACATGAGTGGACCACTTGTAAAAATGAATTGCAGTACCCTGCAATAAAGCCATCAGGTTAATCACGTGGGGGGGCAACCACATCGATTGCAATCCTCGCTTTTGTTGGTCACATCTCATATGCCTACATGTACATGACGCTTGTTATGTGGCGGCTTCAGGATGTTTCACCTTTCTTTTTTTCCTATACCATAGCAACACTCACAGACATCCTCCATCCACTTATTTGCAATGCTCCTCCCCTCACGTTAGATCACATTTCCCACAGCTTTCATTCTTTCTTTCTCTGTAGAACATAGTGTGGATTCCACATGGAATCAGAGCCCTCTGTGAGGGCCATGGCATCCCCGCTAGAGGATCTGTTTGCCCAGTGTGGCGTGAGCTCATCAATTGCCAACGCGTTGATGACCGACGGGTGGACGTTGACCACCTACGCAAGTTGTGCCTCATCTCTTGAGGCCTTTGACCAAGTGCTCCCAAGCCTGGTGGATCAACGTGAGATCCCATTAGTCCAGCAAGCAGCGTTGAGAGCCGCTTTCAAACAGGCCGCATTTGGTTCTCCCTCGCCCACGCCGGCGACTTCAGGTTCGACGGCTGCATCCTCAGGTTCTGCAGGCAATTCATGGACGGACGCTTTCGCTCCAAAGTTGGATCCTCAGATCATCAAAGACTTGAAATCTAAGTTTCTTCAGCATTATCCATCCGAGCTCCTGAACTCAGAAACAATGCCATCGACTCGATTGTTGAGCTTAGTTCATCACCAATTGGTGAAGAAACAATGGGTGTGGGTCCCTTGGCGTTATCGTATGTCGGTTAGCCGTGCCGAAGAAGTTGCAAGCCAGCGAGCGTCCAAGCTCCCCAGATTGGAACATGCATCATTGTCAGCCTTGCTTCTTGATGACCCGCCGGCTTTGGAAATTTCCAACATGGGTATGGGGGTCAATGCCATTCGTAATATGCTTGAAGTACACAATGTCGCGATTGCCATTTGCCAAGGAGCTCATCTGCAGAATCTCAAAGCTTACACCCATAAGTTCATGTCTTTTTTGACTCAAAAGACTGATCCCGAATCCGGACTTCGCACCGCTAGTGTGACTGAATCCCAAGCCGCTGATCGTCAGATCTGGACGACGATTGCCGAGCTCATGTCTGACCGAGACTGGTCTATGGATGACGCTTTGCATGAGTTGACACATATTCGCAACGACCTGTCAGGTTACCTTCAGCTTCGACCTTGAGCTCAGAAGATTCCTTCCGGACCTTTTCAACGGCCTCCTGATGCATCGTTTTCAGCACCTTGGAAAGGAAAGAACAAGGGCAAAGGAAAAGGTAAGGGAAAAGATCGAGTCAAAGGCCGGGTCCAATGGGTTACTGATATTCAGAAGGAGGGCAAATGGCATCAGTTATGCATGCGTTTTCAGTCCGGGAAATGTTCTTCCCCCGATTGCAAGTTCACACATGCCTGTGCGTATCCGAAACCCGACGGTACAGCGTGTGGCGCAAAGCACTCGGCGTTTGATCATCAGAAGACGCCTCACTGACTCAACGTTGCGTCCTCAGACAGTGCAGATGGTTTGCAGCCGGTTGCGTTAATTGACACGTTTTCACCCCCATCCACGTCGCCCTCAGCGCCTGCCGGCGAACCACAGCCAGCGCAGGATGCGGCGCGTACTGACGCATCACAGGTGGTTGAGGCTCCAGCCTCATCACATGACCCACCAACAGTTTCTTCGGCCCTCCCAAAGGGAGTGTCCACGTCTCACGATATTGTGAATTCTGTTTCATTTATTCCAGGCCGATTCTTTCTCGACATTTGTGCTGGGGTATCACGATTATTATTTACCGCATGTCACGCCAAAGGATTGAACGTTTTTTCGGTCGATATTTTGCTAGATTCAACCATGGACATATTGGACGACCAAGCATTCGAACAACTCTTGCGGATTTGTTCTAGCGGCCAAGTGGCCTATGCCGCCGGCAGTCCAAGTTGCGGTCAATACTCCCGCTTGAAGCTTCGCCAGGACGGAGGACCTCGAGCCCTTCAAACTCCTGAGAACTTGGATGGACTCCCAGGACTTTCACCGGACGACCTGACAAAACTGCAAGAGAGCTTCATCATGCTTTCCCGCGTGGTTTCATGTTTACGTTTGGTGTTTTTGTCAGGCGGTCATGTTCATTTAGAGCAACCCACAAATGCCATGTCTTGGTTGGAACCCATTGTCCAGAGTTTTCTCAAATTGATCTCTGCCTCATGTGTTTGTATTGCAGCATGCCAGTACGGTATGGACATTGCTAAGAGTTGGATCTTCGCGTCTAGCTTCAAAAGTCTTTGTTCTTTAGCCTGCAGTTGTACCCACCCAGTGGGCACCCATGCCAGAGTGCAAGGCACACGAGACTCCTCCGGTCAGTTCTTGAGTCGAATCACCGCATGTTATCCGCCCCCACTGGCTGAAGCTTATTTGTTGGTCAATTTCCCAAGAGCTTTGAAGACGGGGGCGGACTGATCTCCCATCCAGATTGGAGTGATGGACCTCGCCTTGAACAGGACTGTTTCAAACCTCTGCGCCAAACCTGGCTTCAAAGGATTGCGCAGTTGCAGTTGCACAAACAAGTCTTGGCCCATTTTAGTCAAGCTCGTGCAGACCCGCCGTTCTCGGACGATCAACTCGAACCATTTCGTAAAGATTTAATTGAATGGCTTAATTCTTTGAACCGGAAAGTGGATTGGACAATTCGTGCCCATCAGCCAATGCACTTGGCAATAATGGCCGAACTGAGCTCAATCATGCATGATGCCGATGTCGCTTTGTTTCCATGTCTTCAGGAAGGCGTGAGCACCGGTTTTTTGGGAGACATCCCTACATCCCATGTGTTTCCCCTTAAGGATAATTCACCTCCTGATAGCACCCCCCTTTCGGTTCATATGCAAAACTGGCAGTCAGCGGAAGCTGACCTCGACTTGACTCGCGAGTTGGTGCAAGAAGAAATCGACAAAGGATGGGTCTTTGAGTTCCCTGGAGACCTTTCCCAGGCGCAGGCTGCATACCCTACTGGGGTCTCGGTCGGAAAGCTCGGTGTGGCTACCTCCGATATACTCGACCGCCACGCCTAGTCGTCGACAGCTCGATTTGCGGACTAAATAACCGCTGCAAGATTCCGGAAAAGTCCACTCTGCCCACCGCCAAGGATGTCCTTCGGTGTTTTCCCCTTCGACATTCCTCCGCACCCATGATGGGACTTAGCCTTGACATCAAATCCGCCCATAAACGGATTGTTCTTCGCGAGTCGGAATGGGGATTGGTAGGTTTCTCTTTGGACGGCAAACTGTTCTTTTACCGAGTTTGCCTTTTCGGAGCCATCTTCTCAGCAGCTTGGTGGTCACGCTTGGGAGGCTGGATCCTCCGCTGCATGCATCACATGCTTTGGCTGCCCCATGCAGCCTTTTTGTATGTAGATGATTTTCTCTTCTTTCAAGACCGTGATCTCATGCCCATTTCTGCAGCCATGTTATGCATTTTGTGTCAAATCCTGAAAATCCCAATCAGTTGGCGCAAATGTGAACTCTCAGGCACCATTTCATAGATTGGCTGGCGTTTCCATTTCGCCGCCGGTTTCGTCGAAATCCCGGCAGATAAGCTTGAACAAATTCGTAAGTATCTAAGAGAGCTTGCCTCAACCCATAAACCTTCCCGCAAACTATTGGAGAAATTCATTGGTCTTGCTATGTGGTTGACACAGCTTTTTCCATACATGCGAATTTGGTTGCATTATTTGTATAAGGACTTGTACTCAATCCCTGCTTCCCATTACAGCATAGACCCCTCTGACTGGTTGCAGGTACCCCCATGTCTGTCCACAGATTTGCGCTTTACAGCACGACCTGCCGGTACTGCCATCCCATTAGGCAGCACGTTGATTTCAGTCAAACATCAACCAGTAACAACTCTGGATGATGTCCGGACGCTTCATTTGTCTGATCGCAGAATATGGATGCGCATTAGGGATCCCAATTCCTCTCGTCGGCATATCTCTACAGATTCGCATCGTATAATCACCTTATTCTCCGATTGGTTATCGGTTTTGTCTCCAGTTCGTCCCTTAGTTCCCAAACCTCTTTGGCAAGGAGAGGCAGCAGCAGATGCCTGTGCATCCGGCTCCGAATGTCAAATCGGGGGTTTTGTGAGAACACCGGACGGTCGTACCTACTGGTTCTCCGAACGATTGACCAAAACAGACTTTGACTCCCAAAAAATCCCGATTGCTTCCGACCTACAACGCAACATCACATGCTTTGAGACACTAGCCCAGATGGCACTGCTTTTTCTAGTTTCGAGGTCTTTTCCGGGTTTCCGTCTTCCCCTCCGTGTTCAAACTTTGAGTGACAACACCGGCGCAGAGGCCGGCAGCAACAAATTGTTCACTACTTCGTTCCCTCAGTGCTTATTCGTGGAGAAATTGTGTCTCCTCGCTGCTTGCACTTGCACGGAAATGGATGTCTCCCACATCCCCGGAGCAGACAATGAAGAGGCAGACGCTTTGAGCCGTTGGGACTTGACCTCAGATCCTCCGTGTTCTTTTCGTCTTGACGATAGATTCTCAATATCTCTTGATGACTTGTGGGCCGCGCCGCTTTCGGTTTCACTTCATCCGGTAGACACCAATCTGTTATGGCAACTTCCGACGTGATCTCTTGCTTGCTGGAAATTTTGTCCTCACTTGTTTTTTGGGGGTGCGTTTGGCGAGAACAGAATTTCCCCTGAAAGTTTTCCAGCAAGCGAGAAATCATAATTTTATGATTTCCAGCAAGCGAAAAAGAGATATATAATATAAAGAGTGCTCGAATTATTATATGTTTCTTTATCTGTTTAGATAGACTTATCTAAATCTTCGTGACAAATGAAAGTCCAACGTATAACTATGACTTTTCGGGACATGTCCGGACAAAACTTGTTCCAATTAGATCCACATTTTCATTCCTGACTTGTTTCCATTGCATGGCATACTCTGTCTGTCCACAGGGTTCAACCTGGATTTTGGGTGAGCACCTTGACCCTCCCAAGGTTCAATCCGATCGACCTGTGCAGAAGACCATATCATGATGGAGCCTGCCGAGATCGACGTGCTAAAAGCATTTCTACATCCTGAAGTGGTGATGTTTGAGTTTGGAGCAGGCGTGCTTTGCCCAACGCTTCGGCAAACCTCCTCCCCCGTACCACTTGCAGCCCTCTATGTTCGCCCATGACGTACATGTAAGCGAGCTTAGACAAGCGTCGCTTCCGGGTGAACCCAAAATTCAGATCCACCCAGTAATTACCGCCGATTCAGTGCCACGACCCGATGGCCGGGACCCGGTGGCCGGGCAGGAGGCTCCACGGTGGCCTTTTCTGAGTTGGTCAAAGAGCTCTATGTGGCGGAGCACACCCCAGTTGGGCCCAAGAGGCTCACCCGCCGGTGTCGATGGGTTGTGGCCCCAGGTGATTTTAGGAGTTTGCTTTTTGGTGCTGAACACACGTGGTGCAGACGGGGCTGAACACCTTAAAACCTTAGGAAATCAAGGCAGGTCCAAGACGAGGGCTGGTGTCTTGAAAGCTTTTGGCGGGGAGGCCAGCTTGGATGTTGGTCCTCAAGGGCAACCAGTTCCGGGCGTCTGTTTGTTTCGTTTTGTTTCTTTTTTCAAAACTTTTTGGACGCACAGGATAATTCATATCAACTTTGTTCCAGGTGAAGGAGCGCTGTGATGCTCGCGGCATCCGGAATGTGCACTTGCTCTCCGCCCTGCCCAATCGGAGCGCCTTGGAGCAAATGGGCGCCACCGACTGCGGAATTCTTCGGCCTCAGCTGGTTTTTGACAAGGCAGACCCCTTGCGCAAGACTTATGGGCCCAATCTCGATCCCAAATGGCGAGATGCTTCTCCCGCGCAGCGGGAGGCCGTTTTCAAGGACTACTTGAAGTTGATCCAAGAGGCGAATCAGTCTCGCTTCGATGTGGTTTTAATCGATGGACGCGTACGTGGTGAATGTGCACTCGCTGCTTTGCCTTATGTAGATGAGAGATCAGTGGTCATCATTCACGACTGGTTCTTGGAGGAGTGGGGTTATGAATTTCGACCTGATGGCACACAGGATTTGTCCAAACCTGTGAAAGTTGCTCCACGTGGCACGCTGAAGAGCTATCGTCGAGTTCTCGATTTTTATGACATTCTGTGTAGAGTTTCCCCTGAGACACACCCCGTGCGCTGTAGCTGTGCTGGCTTGGTGGTCTTGCGCAAGAAGATGCAATCAAGTGCATGAATTTGAAGGAGTCAATGACACTTCAACACGAGAGATCAGAGATAGCGTGAGTGAGCCACGTTGTCTAATTTTCACCAAAAGGGTGAGTGTCCGACCAAAGATGGGCACACAAGGACCAAGGATGCAAAACCACACATGCTTCCAGGCACACAAATGGGTGATGGTGCAGGTGGTGCAGGTGGTGCAGGTGGATCCCAAATTCAGGTGATTCAGGTGCACTGATGCGTTCAATCTGTGATTCTTGCCATGCCCCGGGCGGTTGAACGGACAGTCACATCTCAAGAACGGACAGTTGATGATGCATGCTGATCTAACATGATCGCAGGGACCCACAGTTTTGATTCCACCAGGCAACCGGGAGTAGATTTCTTTTGTATTTTCTTTTCAATCGTTTGTCCTGGATTTAAAGGCAAGTTCGAGCTCTTTCATCTAGGCTGCCGGCTCTTTTTGAAGGACGGGCCAAAACAGCATGTCGTGTTGTGGTTGCCACGAGGGTCTTTGTTTGATTGCATTTGCAGCCATCTTGCGCAGTGTGACCCTCGCTGTGAATTCTTGCTCGAATCCACGAAGTTTGTCCGAAGTTGTCGCAATGCAAAGCAACGAAGTACTGTACCTATATGTGTGACGCTTTCCATCGGGATTCTGTTCAACTTGTTCTTTCTTTAGCAGTCAAGCATTCATGTTGAGTGGAGAAGGCAGCTAGCTTAGCCCACAACATCTAAGCAAAGTGAACTTAATTCGCGTCATATGCATTTTTGCATGCGAACCTAGCCGCCTGGGCCTCGGAACTTGTGCGACGGGGTCGTGCGGTGCTGGAGGTGCTGCTGCAGTGCACCTCGCATCTTTCGGGGACCCGGTAGGATCTTTTGGAAGGATTGTGTTGACTACTTAGGTTCAGCATATTTCAAGAGTCAAAAACAACACACCACAAAACCACAAAGCCGCAACAATCATCACTCATCTTCACATGAGTGATGATTTGCTGCAAAAAGACGTGTGATTCTTTGATCTCGCCAGGAGGTGTTCAGCAAAAACTCTTTGATGAGCTTTATGGAACTTGAGCCATTGGAATAATTGGTTAACTGTATTGAGCCATTGAAGGATCAGAGGCCTGAGGCAAGAACTCCAGAAATCACATTGAAGCACCAACTCTAGCTTCGTTGGTTTTTGTTGCTCTTGGAGAGCCAAAAGAGTTTGGATGCTGGACCTTGGCCATTTTGCATGTTCTAGTTCTCTTGGTCAAGCTTTCATCAATCAATAGATTCAATAGATTCTAGGTCAGGTTTCCATCGGCCAAAAGACCACGCTCGATTGGTCTGTCTGAGGTGAAAAACGGCGTACACTTCTTGACGATGTGCGCAAGCTCGTCCCGACGGGACGAGTCGACTCGTTCCGTGTTTTTTTGGGGGCAAACCAAGAGAGAGAGAGAGAGAGGACACGGAAGGGGAGAATGCAGAGAACCTTTTCCGTCCCTGTGCTCGGCAACATACACTTTCTGCGTACGACGGACGGACCAGATGGACCCCTGACCAATTCATTGGTGGTGGAAGACCATTTTCCGAATACCAACCCAGTGGCTTTTGGGTCCATGTCCATCTGCAGGAGGGTTGTTTTTTTCAAGGGACCTGTGGCGATCACAGTGCAAACTTTTTGTTTTTAACTGGAAGGGGCAGGGATCCGTGGAGAAACCTTAGAAAAACACACACTGACATATTGTCGCCTTTGAACTTTGGTTTCCCACCCACGTCATGACGTGGTTTCCAAGGCTTTCCAAAGCTTTTGACATAGACACATCATGTGTGTAGGTCAGAACACCTCTGGACCCAGGTCAGAACACCTGTGCACCGTAGACCTTTCAAGAAAGGGACGCGCGACTTTGTCCGAGATCGGTGCACCAGGGGGCTCTTGCGGGAAGGACTCTAACTCTTCCCGAAGAGAATTCCTCAGTTGAACTTTCGGGTTGAAAAACCACCGTGGGAGTCGGGAAAAGACTCACAACCACCAAGGTTTGTGGGAGGACTCTGGTCACTCAGCTGGCAAGTACACTCCCTGAAATGGGCACTCAGCTGGGTTACATGGATGGCACCACCTGTTTGGTATTCGGAAACCAAGATGGTCATCCTTTTGGGGTGATGCCATCCGCGTAGTGGATCGAACGTGTAGGGAGTGGTGTACTTGCCTGATTGATACGACTCACATCCGAACGACAGAAGACACCTGGCATTTCGAACAGACAGGAAGAACTCGACACTCGAACAGACCCCACAAGACGCGGACGGATTTTCGTGCCAGACGTTCGGCATTTTTGCACGCACGGGAAAAAACCACCTGGAGCAGGTTCCCTTTTCCGACCTGCTAATCTATCCAACGGATCTGTGCTCATTCTGGCTGACCAATATTAGCCATCACTGACAGATGGAGTATTAGCCATCACTGACAGATGGAGAGATCCTTGAGCTTTTCGAAGTGACCGAAAACTGACGTGACGTGACCCCCTGAATCGCCGCCACTCTCAAGCCTGGGCGGGGGGCGGGGCGAAGCACGGATGGGGAGAGTGCACGGCGTGGTGGGCGAGTGAAAAGACAGCATTCGGAGCACCCCAAGCGTTTTGAGGTTTGAACCTCGTGAGAGACATGGCACTTGCAACTTGACGGTCATGGGAGATCTGCAAGCTGGCAGTAAAGGCCTGGGGCCTTGGGCCTTTGGCCAGGAAGTTGTTTTGGGGTCGCATGGTTTCAGACTCGCATGAGCCGCTGTAGCGTGAGCGAGCTTTCCTCGCCTTCCTCAAAGTTGGGCGCAGAACCTGCCATGCACTCGCTGGTGGCACGTGCGGCGGAGGTCGGGGGCAACTTTTGAGTCGTTGATGGACGGTTCCAGAGAACACGATGCGCATGTTGTGGTGCACACCACTTTTTGCACAGCAAAACGCACTCAACTGATAGCTTCACCCCCCCCATGTTCCTACTTAACCAAGCAGAGGAACCATGGTGCCCTGCCGTCAGGCGATCTCTGCTGCCAAGCGCCTGCTGTCCGTGGTCTCTGAAACGACTTGGAAGGACGTGCCGTCCGACGCGTCCGAATGGACTCGTCCGACACGTCCGAATGGACTCGTCCGTCCGTCCGGCGGGTCTGAAGAGGGGGGTTTTCAGAGGGTCTTCCCTCCTGGTCGGAACCTAAGGAGGTGAAGCTGCCGCGTCGGTGGTACGGTTTCTTCTCCACATCGGTGCTGTTGCTGAACCCAGCTCAAGCAGGTTCCTGTTTGGCCACCTTGCCAAGTCTTTGGCAGTGGCTTGGCGGAGTTTCTCGGCTCCGTGGGGAATCGGCCTCTCCAGATCGTTGTTCTCACTTCGGATTGTAGATCTGGGACAGATCCGCGGACGTCTGGGGCGGCTTCTGATCCGACTTTGGATTGTAGATCTGGTATGGGTGATCCGTTTTGGCCTTCTGGCTTGTGACGACTGCCGATCCTTCTTCTTCCTGTGGGAAAATGGTGTCTTAGACGAGGAAAAACACATATTTGTGGGTGGGAGCCATCTATAGAAGGACCTAAACATTTGGGTGTGCCCGCCGACGACCATGTGCCCGCTGAGTGTGAGAAGCTTCACCTGTTGGACAGGAGCGATGTGAATTTCTTGCAGGCCTCCAATCCACACCAGCCACTTGGCAGTGGTTTGTTACCAGCCATGCCTGCAGTTCCGCTGTGGGGGGAAACAGGTGAAGAGCGCACATTTGAGGAGCACACGAAGGCTGATATGAAAACTCTATAAAGGCCAAATCTCAGTGTGACATTGGAGGTGCTGAGGTCTTGTAGCTCACTGGCAGATTTGGTTTAAAAGTGATTGACAAGGAGTGACATATCATTGAAGAGACATATCACTGGGACTTTGAAGCCAAAGCAAAAAGCTTGTCTACAGATGTTGTTTGCTACAATTACAGTATACATGTTCTATTTAACTCATGTTATTACATATTAGTTGCCGGAAAAGTCAGTCAACAGTCACACCACTTTTTTTTGGTGCGGACATGAAACACCTGCCATAGACTCTAGACATGACTGGTGATAGGATCCATGAACTGGCGTGGACAGAAACGGCTGGACTCACACAAACGGGTGTGTTTGCAGGCATTTCAACTATAAATGTAGAGAGGTGATGAATAACTCCCTAAACAGTGGGTTGTAAAACCTCTTCGGGCCCAGTAGGGGATGAAAAATATCATCAACCCTCTACATTATTGGTGCCTTCTTTCGCGTTCTCCGCACCGACATTGTCCGGCCAGAACATGGTCATTGATCCCAAAAAAGCTCGCAGCCGCGTCGATAGTGGGCGGCCGCGTCGCGTTTGGTTGCCAAGGTGACGGGTCGAGGAAGGGGATGATTGTCTTGGGGTGATCTGGGTGCATGATTGAGGCACTGTAATGAGCATTTCAATCGGTTTTCATCGGAAACCAAGAGGCTGAGGCACAGCCTCTATATACCAAAGAAACGGAGTGATGAGCCTTCTTCGATGCCGAGGCATCGAAGAATTGGTGGTACCTGCAGCAGGTGTTGGGAACGGATGAGATGTGAGACTGAGACCTTGTTGAGAAAGAGAAGGATCTGGAAGTGACTTTCGCTCGAGGTCGAGCTTTCCGAACTAAGAAAGCAAGAAAGTACGAGACCAAGGCTTTTGTGTCCAGCTTCAATAGCTCGAGCTTGTGCTTCAATGGAAGGTGCCGTTTTCCGTGCTGAACGGACAGTGCAAACTGCAGGTGGTGTGGCTTTACCTGTCCACCTTGGGCCTGCATGCTGCAAGGGAGCTTGGTCGATCCGCCTGGGGGAGGATCTGCAGATGTTCGTGCAGCTAATGCAACTAGTTCATAGATGAATGCAGTTCCTACAGCTCATTGAGAGGGAAGGGAGCGGGTGAAGCCGGGATGAAGGGCGAGGTTCGGAGAGCAACACACATATACACACACAGACACACTGAATGGTATGAGTGGTCAAGTTGTGGCTCTGAACAACATTTTTACTGTTCTCTTTCTTTGATGCCCCAGAAGAGGCAGCCACGCAGCCACTTGAGTTCGTCTTGATGAAAGATGTCCACACCCGTCCGTCGAGGTGGTCACGGGCCGCAAGGTCCGTCTTTTTTCACATACAGAAAACGAGTTCTGGGGGGGATACTGCTGAACATCTGGCGAAAGGCCGTTCGTTGGATTTTCCGGTTCAGCCCCACGCCCCGTGTGAGGGATGGTGTTGGTCGGCGAATTGGAAGAGGGATGGCGAGCACTCGGATCTCACCGCTTGGCTAGGCCAGGTGGCTGTGCTTGCGGCAAAGATTGTAGACTGAGTGAAAGCAAGAACAACCGACAAATATCTAAAAAGAATCAAGCAAATACAATATGCAAATGGTAGAAACACACATCAAAAGGTAAAACAACGCAAAGGCACATAGAAACTGTAGACTGTAGACCATCGTAGAGGTGAGGAGGCAGGGTTGACTGGTTTGCTTGGCATTTTTCATCATACAGAGCCAGGTAGACTAGACACTGACGCGGACTTTAATACATGATGTTGATAGGCCAGAGAATCATGCTTGTCCGTTCTATGGCAGCTTCATCCGCCGCGCTGCTTTTCTCCAGCCACACGCGGCATCCGCCCGCGCCGCGCTTTTCTCACGGTTGCTGCTTGTCTTCGCATTCATTGCCACGCCACGCCCGCTCGTTCGGAGGTGGGCTGAAGACCGTGGGCTTCGGCTGCTTTGATTTGTTGGCCCTGTTGGCCCTCAAGGCTCGATGGACGACGGAATATGATGAACGCGTCTGTCACGATGACGGTGACGGATCATATCACAGCAACGAAACGCTGCATGCTTTGATGGATCGAGTGATGCTTTTGTTTCTGAGAGACATGCATGCTTTATGCATTTTTCTGTTTTAAATGGCCTCCCTCTTCCAGGTTAGATGATTTAGATGGCTGCGGGAGAATCACACACACATTGATCGAGGTGCAAACGAGCTCCCAACCAGCACGTTCCCAGCCCATAAGCCTTTCCTTTTCTTGGTGGGCGAACCTTGACCTCCGGAGAATCGGATGGCCGCATCAGCTCATGGCTTCGGGGGGAAAACATGAGTGTTCATTCTGGAGAGGCTGGTCCTATGGAGGTTGTCATGTTTCATGGCCCCATGTTCGATGCGCTGCCGAGTGAGTGCTCCAGGCCTCTCGCCACGCCTATGCCTTGCCACGGGTTCAGGCGCGGATGTCCAGCGGGAGCTGCGAAATCGCTGGCAGAACTGGGTGTGTATTCAAATAGGGAGAGCATCCCCAGTTCGGCTCCCTCCTCAAAAGGAACATAGACCAAGGGTCCCACTGGTCGGGGGATACTCCCGAATTACCATACACACGTACCATGCCACTTGAGGTGTTCCATGCCACTGGACTTACCCGAACTCACAAGGGGTAGTGAGTGGCCTGTAGTGGTTATGGTGATGATGGCTTCTTCCTCAATGTTGAAACGGAGGTTCCGTGCTTCTTCCGGGTGCGGACCCCGAGGAATTGCTGGGCCAAGTGGCGGCGGAGCACAGTGAGCTCATGGCCAAGAAGTGCTGTTGCTGGGGCTTTCTGCAAGCTTTGGTGCAGCAGGGACCCCCAGTCGCTTGGGGCTGGGCACCGCTGGTGCTTGGGAAGTGGGTGGGAACTCTTGCAAGTCTAACTGAGCTTGCCCAGAAGCTCTATTTTAACCCAGGGAACCTTCTGGAGTCTATCATGGACGTCGACCTGACCAGCTAAACAGCAACCCACCCGGCAAACATTGGACCTTTCCGCAGCTCTCTCTGCGAGCTGCCCCAGGTGCCTCTCTCAAAGAATGGGCCACCGGGGAAGCGGATCTCTTCAGCGTTTGGCGTGGATTCCGTGCGCGGCTGGATTTCTCCCAAAGTCTCGGTATTTCCGGCACCAAGAGCCGCAACAAAAAAGATACCCCAAAAAGGATCGCCTAGCAAAGATGATGCAAGGACAGTTTTAGACCTTACAACATCTTACAACCAGATCAAGATGACACTGAAGTGACTGGGTTAGTCAGAATGTCCTGCTGACCAAGGGCTCTCTATTGGATCCTCTTCATTCACTCCATCTTGCACAAGAATGAACGCGACATGGTCCGGCGCTCAACTGCTTGACAGCGCAACCTGATCAAGACCCTCTGATCTCCCTCAGAACCTGCTGGGCCAAAAAGCAAAGAGGGCGTCGCGGTCCTGACGCCCACTCCGGATGCTTATGGGGATGACGCAGAGCGATGAGGCTTTACATGATCGGTTGACACCATCTACACTCCGCGTCATGTTCCATGTTACGTGGATGGCACCACCACCTGTTTCCTATTTGGATTTCATGGTCATCCAACATCGGGGCCATGCCATCCACGTAACGGACCCATGTACAGCTGATTGATACTATTTACTATTACTATTATATAATACTATTCACATCCAAACGACATCCTCCAAAAGACAGTTGGGCATTTGGAACAGACCAGACACTCTCCACGACCCCACAAGACTACGCGGATGTTCACCGTACCGTCGCCGGGGATGATCACCGTACCGTTTTCTCTTATCCATGCCTAAAGAATGAAGGCTGCAAAGCGATAGAAACGGACATGAAAGGAAGGCAAAGTAAAAGAAAGATATACAGAAAGAAGAATAAAGAAAAGCAAGGAACACAGGTACCTTATCTATGCCTAGATAGTGAATACAGCAAATAACCAAAAGAGAAACAAAAGCAAAGAAAAGGAAAGAACGATTGAAGCACGTACCTTATCCACGCCTATCTAATGAAGGCTGCAAACATAAAGAAACCAAGGAAAGTAACCAAAAGGAGAGACTAGGAAGAAGAGGAGCCAGAAGAAAGAAGACATGCATGCGGCATAAGAGAATCTGTAGGTGAGAAAAAATGATCGACCCAAATACAGAAAAGCAAGACAGATTAGAATGAACATGCAAAAGAAGGAAAACAGGTACTTCATCCATGTATATATATATATAAAGAAGGCTGGAAAGGGAACACTCGGAGACTAAAGAAATAAAGAAAGGGAACACAAGGAGACTAAAGAAATACCAAAAGGCTAGAAAAAGCTTTGGAGTGAACAACACAGAAAGTGACAATACAAGAAAAAAAAAGAAACACAACATAACTTAACAGATCCTTTTAAAACGTTTTCTTTTTTGTTGCGCCTCAACTATCTGCGTAGTTTTGCATTATTTTCTTCTGAATCTGTATTTGGGTCCTTCCTTATGCCAAAGGTATTAAATCTACAGAAAGGACGGTGACACATTCATGTTTGTTGTTGTCTGCATGCATTGTTTTCGCAGCCTTTGGCTCGCAATTTCAAGGGGTGCTCATCTGTACCCGGTTCCTCAGCAGAGGTGTTCGGATCAGAGAACTTGAGCTTCTTGGGGGCCGGAGGTGAGAGGCTGGCAGCCGCGGTTGACTGCTTCATGGCCGGTTTGAGATTGCTTGCTTTTGGCTTGTGTGCCATAAAGTTGGTCAAGTGTGGGTGATGACTGGCTCAGTCCTCTGCATTTCTTCTTGAGCCCTTTGGTGAGAATGACTCGCTCTGCATCATCCAAATGGCTTTGCAGCCCGCATCCTTTGCACTTGATGGTCTTGCCTCGTTGCCACAAGGTATGGGATGGGTGTCCTTTCCTTTTCTTCGCCTTCCCTTTGCAGCCTTATTGTTTTGGCGTGGGTAGGGTATCTGTGCTTTTCCTTTTGTCCCCACTCCTTTCTACACTTGCTTTTCTTCTCTTTGTCTTCGTGTTCGTAGCCTTGATTAAGTTACTTTGGCGTGGATAAGGTACCCGGCTTCCTTTCCTTTCTTTTTCTCGCGCTTTCTCTTTGCAGCCTTCATTAGTTTGGCGTGCGGGAGGTACCTGCGTTCTTCCCTTTTCCGTCTGCTTATCCCTACATACCTACATACATAGATACATACCCAGGAGTCTTTTCAAGGGCATCACAATGCATGGGGTCGTAGACAAATATTATGTCTGCCGCTAAAGTTCTTTACTTCAAACAGCAAGGTGAACAACTACTGATTTACCACCTTGTCCGCAGCTTCGCGTATCGAATTTGCAGTGGATCGCTTGTTCGCTGTTTTTCCTTTGGCTGAAGTTCTTGCATTTTCCACGTTGTGATATTCCCACCTCTCTCGAGCTATCCAGTGCACGCTGTGACGACCAGCCGGCGTAGGATTTTTGATAGCTTTTTGAGTGGCTGCCTCCTCAGTTGGCCATGTCCATGGGTTGTTTTTTTTAGCGCTTCCAGTGCCCAATCTCGGACTCCGTCATCAAGTGGCTATTCCCTAATTTTGCTCGACACCAAGTCTCTTGAAGCCGTGTTGCCGCTAACGACACCCAACCTGGGTGAGGGAATTTCTTTCCACGGATTTCAGTTTTCTTTTCGCCAGACATGATCTGCTTCAACCACCACGGGTGTATCTTCAAAATCCGGTTCGTATCTGCAAGAGCCGTGGCAGCAGTGAGAAGCACCAACCTGCACCTCCGTTGTTTCAACCAGTTCTGTTTGAGAACTGAAATGCCCGAGTGATTTGTAGAAGGGTCTGTCCAAGGTAGCGATAGTATGTCCTCGTCATGGCAATCTGTGTGACCAGCAAGACTACCCACAGGCATATCTTTGCCGCTTTCGACATCACTTTCATCCATGTCGCCAGTAGGAAGATCCATGGCGGTTCAGATGTATCCCAATATTCCATTTCCCTTGCCTAGTGCTGAGCGCTGCGTCAAACACGGCCCAAGCCTTGACCGATTGAAAGTACAGATCTACCAGTCCGCACTAGTCCTATGCCAAGCGCACTCACCAACTCAAAAAAGGTTAACATTGGATCTTCACTTCCCATGTTGTTCTCTTAGGGGATCAGCCCTTTTTGGGCATGAGGGAATTGGTTTATGCAAGCTGCAAAGAAACAAGGAAAGAGCTGAACGCAGGTACTTTACCCGTGTGTAAAGAATGAAGGCTGCAAAGTTAAAGACAAAGAAAGGCAAGAATGCAGGTGGCTCGTCCATGCCTAAATAAGACAGCAAAGAGAAGGACAAAAAGACAAGAAAAGACAAGACAAGAAAAGAAAAGAAAGAAAAGACAAGAAAGAAAGACAGTCAGAAAGAAACAGAACCAAGAAGAGATAAAAAACACGAAAACCAACAGAATGAAAGGTTGCAAGAAAGAAAGAAAGACCTTATCTGTGCCTAAGCAGTGAAGGCTGCAAAGAGGAAGGCAAAGAAAGGAAAGAACGCAGGTACCTTATCCACGCCTAAACAATGAAGACCGCAAAGAAAAAGACAAGAAAGTAAGACAAATAAAAAACAAAACAAAGAACGCAGATATTTAATCCATGACGCAATAAAAGCTGCAAAGAAAAACGGCAGGAAAGAAAACGAAAGACTCGAAAGCAGGCAGTAGAAAAGAACAGATTGCAGGTAACTACCCCACGCATAAAGAAAGAAGGCTGCAAACAGAAAGAAACGAAATGTAAGGGATGCAAAAGAAGAAAGCAGATAAGAAAGAAGATGAAGCAAAGGAAAGAACGCAAGTACCTTATCCATGCCCAAATCATGAACAGTGCAAAAAGCAAGAGATTAGCGAAAGTTAAGAAAGATGCAAAAAGAAAGAACGTGAGAGGAAAGGAGAAGACACAAAATAAGAGAGAGTAGAAAGAAGGTGAAGGAAAGAAAGTAGAAGAAAACATGGACAACTAAAGAGCAAAGGGAGTGTCATTTTTATCGGGAAGATTTTTCAAGTCTGAATGTTCAAAGCTAAGTTAGCAGTTTGCGCTAGACGGAGTTTTCTTGCATGTGCTTTGAGTTTTCATGTTCTGAAAGATGTGAAAGCATTACGATTGACATTATACCGATTTTCAGGTGCCAGATAGCGCAGAAGGCAATGGTTAGAACGATGCAGCACCGTCGCCAGGGACAAAACCTGCTTGACCTTGTGCGCTTTGGTTTGCGCGGTTGGCAACGTGCCTCCACAGCATTTGCAGCGAACAGGGTTACACTAAGTGGTGGAAACACTCAAAGGCATGCAACGCCTGCCTCGGGCAGAGAAAATGAATGAACTGTTCAAGAAGTTGCAGCCTCGGATCAAGAAGATGTCGCTGCAGAAAAATAAGAAGACCCCAAAAAGGACAATGAAGCCGCAGAGACAATAGCCTTGCAGTAGGAGGATGAAGATCCAGAAGCAGCAGCTGAGGGATGCGCACGCGTGCGCAACCATGGGCAATGCATTGGGTCTTCTTCTTTTGCTTTTACCGTGCGTTTTGTCTTTTGACCTTTACCTACAAACTTCTTCTTGTTGTTGCCTAATGCCAACATTCTAGATTCCAGTCAAGGACTTGTCCATAGACGACTGGGCTAGTGTGTCAGCTGTGGCATGACTGAGTTTGCAAGCAAGAGAAAAGGTAAATTGAATAATGGTCGCGTGTGTCTGCCGACATGTCATTCTAAACTCACCGCATGTTTAAGTCTATTTTATTGCACGCAAATGCAGCTTCGCCAGAACCGTTGGTATCTATTTCTCCTGTGTTGCGTTAATGAAAGCAGATAAACTCCTGCATATCGGCGTACCCGCGCAACACCGATATATCCCCACGGCCCCGGATATCGGCGTATCGGCGCCGCGCCAATATCCACACAGCCCCGGATATCTGTGTATCGGCGCCCCTGATATCCCCCCAGTCCCGGATATCGGCGTATTGGCGTACCGGCGCCGCACCGAGCCCCGGATATCGGCATATGGGCTGCATTGACCTCCTGGCCATGTTTGCGGCTGTGTATTTGTGGCTTGGGAGGCAGTCCGAATGGGTGTGAGCGTTGATGAGGTTGACTTTCCTGTTCGGGCGGAGGGACTTCCGCATGTTCCTGAACACACCCAACCCCACCAAGTATGAGGGCACGCCGGCAAGCGTGCGCTTGGGGTTGGATGTGCTGCGCAACTGATATAATACTATTGACGACCCACTGTTTCAGGAGCTGCTGCCCTTGTACCGCGCCAGTGTGGTGCATTCTGGTTTGAAGACCGTGTACATTTTCCGGACAATGGTGTTTGCAATTCTGAAGCGCAGCCGTGACATGGTCCGGTACTGCGTGAGCCACTTGGAGGTGTGCGCGACCCCTTCGCGACTTTTCGCGTTCATTATGGAGTTTGACGGTGTTTGCGGCGATGCGTCCGCGCAGGACACCGTGCACTTCAGCCAGGTTGGCGTCCAGTCCAATGCCTTGTCGCGCACGGTGTATAATGAACTGGCGCCGGAGAATGAGGCCTGCGAGGACGAGGTGTAGGGAAAAAATCCAGAAAACGAAGTTATACGGGTGTGTTTTTTTTCGCGTTTTTGTGGTTTGTGGTTTTCTGTTTTTTTTGAAAATGTTGGTTGTTTTGAAGAGCGTGTCTAGCAAAAATGTCGACTTGTAATCTGTCAGATCTCTCATCAAGCTTTTGCAAAAATACTAGCTCTCATGATTCCCACGCAGAAGTCAAATTCCACGAGCAATTTTTGTTTTATTTTTTCGCCTCCCCGCCCCGGGAGAAGCCCGGCAGGCCCAGTTGCTGGAGATTGAGGACTGATGGAGATTGGAGGTCTTGGAGGCAAGATCCCCCTCATATAGAGGTGATGACTTGATGATGTATGAGGTGATGTCCTGAACTTGCTGATAGATGATGGTTGATGGACTTCTGTGTGGGAATCATGAGAGCTAGTATTTTTGCAAAAGCTTGATGAGAGATCTGACAGATCAGAGCCATGCCAATTGGATCATTGCATATCAGAACATGGAGAAGGAATGGGGGATTCAGGCTCTATGTGGCGAGGGTGGATACCTATACTGTATGGTCTCAATGGTGGAGTGTGGAAGAGTGTCTTGATTTGATGGCTTAAGATATCCAATGAAAGAGAGAGATGGGCATATAGCTAGAGAGCATAGGAAAATGGAACTTCCAATGTGGATGAAATGAGATGAGATGAGATGAGAGAAGCGTTGGGTGCATCAAACAGCTGGCATTGGGCATGTGGCTGTATGTATGCAGTTTCATTTGGGACCAAAGGCGGCTGCGTAGATGCAACACCTGGGCATGAGAGATTGGGATCCTGACTTTGAGCAAAGTGTATTGCTATACAAGTCATTGAGCGAATGCCCTAGACAGCAGCACAATATGGATGGTGCTTCGATTGGGTTTGTTTGGCCTCCAAGAGCACATGAGCGCCATGTGAGAGGGACACTTGCTGAGCAATCAATGATGGGGATGGGGTCCATGGAATGCCTGGTGCAAATGGGTTTGTGCGTGATTAGGTGGCCCAATGGAAGATCAGAAGCATTTGGGTACAACGTTCGTTGATCCTCATGTTTCATGCTATTGGTAGAGCATATTTTGTGCGCAGTTTATTTGTTTACTTTTGGGTGGGTGTTGGTGAGGTCCAATGAGTTTTGAGCTTGGGTGGCATCACAACAAAGAATCCTTGGCAATGTTGGGTGAACATTGGGAGCATGCTGAGCATGCCAGGTTTGGTACAACCTGACTTCATGTATGTCTATGTGTGGGCAAGAAGGTTGGGGTGAAGAGAAGGTGCTTCATGAGGTTGGGAATGAGTAGTGGCCATGCAGCCAATTCAGACCCTCAGTGTATCTATGGCTGGATCGTTCCACGGGCTGATAAGGTTCTTTGGAAGATTTCGTCGTAGATGGGAGGATATGGAGCATAGGCCTGAAGAGCCATTGGGTGAGAGCAGTGGAGATGAGCAGGATTGGTCCGATGGAACTTGTGGGACAGGATGTGAACTCCCAATGCTCGCGGAATGGTTCCCTATGACCCGGAGAATGACGATGAGGCATATTATGGCTATGGGCGTCAAGAAGGCCATGCAAAGCCCAATTCCAATCAGTCATCCAGCTGCAGTACTACTAAGAAAGTTTCTCAACTTTTGTTGGGCCTGGAGGGCACATTGTGTTTCAAGATCATGATCTTCTCTCCATTTCATAAAGAATGTGGAAGGAGAAGCCCACTTCATAAAGAAGGTGGAGGGAGAAGCCCAAAAAGTGCTACCTTTGAAACAATGAGAATGCTTATGGGTGAGGAAGGGTAGAGTCGGATCCAGAGGTTGTTTTAAAAAAAGAAAAGTTGGTTTTGTTTGGGAAACAGGAGCACAAGAACATATCTAGACCGCAACCGTGGAAACTCTTTCAAAACATGACAAAATCTAAGAAAAACACCACAAAAACGCATAAAAACCACGCCCGCATAACTTCGAGCTCTCAAAAAATAACTATCCTGACAAGCAGACATCGAAGTAGAGACAAACGGAGAAGCTGCGTGGTGCAAAGATGTTGGGCAGCAGACTGATTTTCATCCGCTAGGACCTAGTACTTAACTTTGTTTGCAGCATATTGTTCCAAGCGACTCGAAGGAAAACTGTTGCTTCGCGCGAGGCCCAACCATGTCTCCACCAGTCACAGGGCCAACTCCAGCACCCACTCTTGGGTTACCGCCGTGGTTGTTGCGAGATTTTTGGCACAGCCCGGAGGCCTCAACAAAACGCTGAGCTATATGGCTGTCTTGAGTTGCTCTTGCAACCACGGAACTATCAGTTTGGCGCCAATTTTCACGCCGGCAAAGAGGTCTACGATGGCGAGCGTCACACTCCTGGCTTCGATACCCGTGCTTTTGCTATTTACGGTATGGATCCTTAGGAGAAATGCTTCCACCCTAACTGCGAAGCATCCAAGTGTGTCTCCGGAGTGTGTCGCCACTGTAGTGGCCTGATGCCATTTTTTCTACAAATGGATGCCTTGCAGGTGTGCAAACAGTTCTGCACTTCGAAAAATGTTTTCTGCATTCAGCAAAACAATCAGTAAGTGTACCAAACTTCTTAGAAAAACATACATTCACCTGCAAAAACCAAATCCTGAAGAACAACAGCGACGGAACGAAGACAAGACAAGAAAGACATGAAAGTTCAAACACGAATGGAAGTGTAATGGTCTTAGTAAGAGAGACAGGAAAGGAGAGACAAACTAAGAAAGACCTGGAAAAGACAAGAAAAGAAGGCGCGTGCCCTATTCATGCCTAAATTAAGATGGCTGCCAAGAGAAACACAAGGAAAGGAGAGAACACATCTAGAAAAAGGATGAAAAAAGACCAAACCTTATCCATGCCTAAATAATGAATGCTGCAAAGAAACAGAAAATTAGGAAGATGAACAACGTAAAGAGAAACACACAATTCAGTTCCCTGATCCATTCCAAAATAAGGACGGTTTGGCTGAAAAAATCTGGAAGACATAGAATGCTTTTTGAAAACCAGACCACTGAGTTAACAAGAGCAAACAGTGCTTAACCAAGGAAGGATGCAAAAAGCATGGGCGAACAAAGAAACAAGACAATAGCACACACTGCAAAAAGAACGAGCAGATAGATAGGTGTAACAACAGGTATCAACAATCAGCGATGTTTTCGATTATTGTTTTTGAGCGCTTTGCTGGAACATATTTTTTTGGCCGTTGCTTTTCAACACATGTTGGGTAGTTGTCAGTTTTTTGCGATCACAGAGAAATTGGTGTTCTTCTTATGTACAAACATTGCTTGGCTACGTTTAGTGATTCTAAACAACGGGTACGCTTCGTCAACGCTTATTTCGAATTCGATACTTATTTGTTACAGTACTTGCTTCTGGTTCTTCCTATTTTTTCACGGGTTCCAGCTCAAACTTTTGGGGCGGCAAGTCCGATCCGAGGATTTCACACACTAATGTATATTCATGTTTTCAGCCACAATTCCTCATTTTGTTCTACATTTCACACATTTTTACTCGGTCTCCAGGTCCGAGTGCTGCGCACGGCCTCCGGTGCTTTAGGCGCGGCGTCAATCGGTGGACCGTGGACCGAGCTTCGGCACATGAGGTTTCACATCCATGGAAGTGGCCACATCAATGGAGCCTGGAAGTTCGAGACGTCAGGTGTTGATCAAAACACCTGACGGTGAAGAGTTCGGTTTTGTGCAGCTTTCTGAAACCTTTCGGGGCGAACGTTGGCTACCACAGTCGCCACCCAAAGTACCAGTGGGAAGGAACGCACATTGAGGCAGACGACAGACGTTTGGAGTTTGGGAATTTCAGAGCCTGTGCAGCAACATCTCATGTGGGTGTGTATTAAAATCGGGAGACCATCATAGATAGTCTTAAATAAGGAAAATATACCAGTCAACCCATTAAGCACACCCATGTAACCTTTACAGCAAGAGTGAAGTTCGGGAACTCTTGTGATCCATTTCACTGGGTTTTCCGGATGGAGATTTTCATTTTCCCAAATCCGAGTTTTCCTGTGTTTCGCCCCACCTTTCTTCGCCTCAAGAGAACACCCAAGTGGCCAGGGCTGGTGCTTTGCACCCCGGGGCTTTGTTGCGCCTTCTTCCCAGTGCTCTTGGGCTTGTCGGAGGCTGAAAGCAGGCGATGTGGCGGGTGAAGCGGGGGGGGGCCTCGCCTCCGTTTTTTCCATGGTTAGCCTCTGGTGGAGAGTCCAAAGAAGAAGCCAAGAACCTTCTGACGCTGATGTTGAAGATGATTCTTCTGACCCTTCTCCCGGCTTTTAATTTGTGGTGATTCTGGGTGCACCTGGGCAGTCAGCCATGACCTAGGTAGCATGAGATGGAACTGGGAACCATGTGGAACCGCTCGTGGAACCGCTCATGGAACCGCTCGTGGAACCGCTCATTGCAGAGGCTGTCAGATTTGGCGAAAGGCATCGAGCAAGGTCGAGCCAGACAGCCCAGTTCGATTTTTCGTGTCCGGGAGTGCTTGCAGCCTCGACCATGGCTACCATGATCTACCATGGCTGCCAGCTGCTAGCTGTTTGCTTCAGAGAAGGGGTGAAGAACTTGGTGCCAGGTTATGCGGTGGAACTTCATCAACAGTCCTGCTTGCGCATGCTTGCATGATATCTTTCCGCGCCGGGATTTTCACTCGGACGCCGGGGACCGCTGCTCTCCGAGGTGCCACTGGATGATGTCTTGAGCAAATACGCCGGGCTTGCTCACCATGTCAATCGCCTGGCGAAGGCGTCCCCCCGCAGCGTTCGGCGTTCCGCCGTTCTCCGCGTGGGTCGTCTTCGTTTGGGGCGTCCATGTGGGGACTGCGTACCGCGACGACAACAGGTGCAGAATGCGGTGGGGTGATGGTGCCTTCGGATGCTCTGCGCGGGAAGGGGCCCCACCAATTCGCTGGATCGGCACGAGGATCGAAAGAGGATCAGTCTCGTTGGGGGGCCATTGGGCCGATCGGTCTCGTGGAGCCCGTTTCATCCGTAACGCTGCGTGGACCCCTCGTTCCGCCTTCGAGACGATGCTGCTCTTCGTCCTAAGATGGACTGAGACTCAGACCTATGGGGTGATGCAAATTCAGAGAGAACATGCATCATCACCAGTTTGTGTCTGATAGTAAGTTGATGAAGCAGAATTCCGGAATTCATGGAGAACATGCAACTCCGAAACAATTTGGTGGAATCATCCCTCCTACGAGAAACAGTCATTTGTTGTGGGTTCCTGAGCAATGCTCAGCAGTTTTGATCAGCTTTTCTTGCAACACCCATGAAGAGGGCGCCTGTGGGCACAATCTTCCACTGGGTTCGAACGGGGGCCCCAGACACGTGGTGTAACCGTTACAACGTGTTGTTAAAACGTTGTGGACAACTGGGTATACCACGTCCATCTTGCACAACGTGGGCACTACGGGCTGGCTCTTTTGTTGCAATATATACTGTATATATATATATAACCATCCTGGAGTACATAGAATATGTGTGTTTTCAATCTCGCGGCTGCAAAAAAGAAAAAAAGTACTTGGAATATATGGGTCCAAACATGGTACTTAGAATATTTTGTGGTTTCTATTTTTTTGTGGACAGCTGCGGTCGGTTTGAGACTCTATGTTTTTTTTGTTTTAAGTTCCTTTACTAAGTTCCTGCTGAAAAGGACAAGAATTGGACAAGAAAAGATAAGACAATGAAAACAATTTAACAAAAGGAACGGAAAATCACAAGAAAAGGAAGACAAAAGGAACATAAAAGGAACAGACATGAACAAAATAAGGAAAAAAGAAAAGAAAAGGAGAATCGAGGGGAACCATATTCTATGTTTCAAAAATGTGGTTGACTTGAAAGCTCGAAATCCACGTTTTCTTATTCTATGTACCCGTTTGGATTTTCAAAAAGTTCGTCGACAAAAACGGCCGGAACCTTCAATTCCATATTCTATGTACTCCAGGATGGTTATATATATATATGGATGTGGTTGACAGGTTGTGCCTTCACTGTACATACCGGATGGTGCTGCTTACTGTGAAAGCCTGATTGAAACCTTACTGGAGTTCAGGTGGTGGTGCAGATGCTCCATACGCATGCATTGCCTCATGCATACAGCATCCCAGCCCAGCCAGTGATGTCAGTTTGCCTGTTGTGAAAGGATTGAGTCTAAACCCTTCTCATTTTTCCTGGCAATTTCCTCTTTTTTGCATTGCACACCTGAACCAAGGCGACGCATTCTGTGAAACATTCGATTGCTTGCGTTTGCCACCTTGCGTTTGCTTTTGCTCTTGATAGCGCAGGGTGGCATTCAACACCTGTTGTCCAGTTAGGTGTCTTCTTTTAACCTTTGTTCCCTCTCGTTCTGCGACCTAGACTTATTGATAAGTTAATATGCTTCGTAGAACGGAGGCTTTTCACTTCCACGTGAGTGAGTCAGAGTGATTCCTTGGTCCAATTCCTTGGTCCAATTTCAATTCTGTAGTCACCACCTTGTCATGGCCAATGTGGGATCTTACTCTTGTGGCCAAAGTGGTTTCTTCCACTGAGCCAGGAACTCTCCTCCACCGTGATGTGGCTCCTGCTGGCCTTCCTAGCCTATACACTGATGCCTGGTCACCCACTCGGTCGAGTCGACCGAGTCGACGACCAGCGACGTTTTGTCCTTTTTTTCGTTGCGGCGAGGCGAGTTAGTTGTTTGGCTTGGTGGGTGATGTGTGAGTGATGGTGCACGGTTCAGAAGATGGGTCAGTGTAGTTGAGTCCGAATGACTTGTTGATCATGTAGAAAACTATGGGTAGATCCACATATGTTACAATGGAGAGATCGAAGGTTATGACTTGTGCAGTAGCCTGAATTACAAAGCCTAAGGTGACTCAAGCTTGCCGGTTTATTCTTAGCAGAAGCTGGTCAGGTGACAAAAGGAGTAATTATGGTAAATAGCAAAGAGTTTGGTGTTGCCAGGAATGTCCTTGCCAGTTGCCACTGACTAGGGTGTTGTGTCCCGTTGTGTCCACAGGTGGGTTGGAACAAAATGGCAATGACTGTATCATGGAAAGATTAACAAGTTCTGTTTGGCGATCCACATGTCACATTTGTTTGCAGCGAGGCAGTGCTGCTCAGTGTGGCTTTGGATTGACAAGGCCCCCTTCCGTGGGCTTGGACGTGGAAATGGGAAGATTTCAACCAAGTAATATGTTTTTTTTTCAATTTAGAAGGACTCTGAACAAGCTCTGGAGACAGGCAGTTTTGCATAGCAGGCAGAACCTCTAGACATTTGGTGATGGATGTAGAGCATTGTTTGACGTAGGCTGAAATCCTTTGCTTTGACCAATGATTTTGCACATTTTGGTCGCCAGGTTTTTGGTGTTCCTTGGTTGTTTGAGAGGTAATTGGAGGAAAGCGTGGCGCATTGAGTGTGGAAAAGGTATGTGTATGTCGTGACTGTCCTGTTGAGCAGCCGAGCCGAGAGCAGAGGCGTTTCATCCCGTTGCACGTTTTACGCCGTATTCCAGGTGAGCCTAGCGTTTGGGCCTCGGCCTGCCCGAGTGAACGAGCCGGGAGGTGAGGGTGGAGAGATGCGGAGAGTGGAGGGTTTGGCCGAGGCTTTTCTTGGCGCCAAGAATTCTGTAAGCTGGTTCTTGGAGGTTCATGGAGGGTGGAAGTTTATGAATCACGAAAGGTAGCTTCAGCTACCTGAGTTCATGTTTGCTTTAGCAAACATGTATGACATCATTTGCAACCTTTCGTTCACCCCCTTTCGTTTTGCTACCTTTCGTGGTTTGCTCGGTTTGGTCCCACCTGGACCCGACATCTCCAGACGGTCAACGACACCGGACTTGGCTGGCCTAAGGCCCTGCTCGGTGTATGCGTGGGCGCTCGGGTCTACCGCGCTTAGTAGGTGGACCATGATGGCGGTTGAAGTTCCATCCATTCGTCAGGAGGTGACCTGGACCTTGATTTGTAGGCTGTAGTCCAAAAGTGAGGTCAAAGAAGATAACATACTTAGGGACCTCTTAGACTCTAAGCACATTATGGTGACAACCTTCTGATGTGCACAACAGCAATCATGAGCATGGGCGATTTCTTAAGCAACCTAGGGCCTTAGGGCCAAGAGAAGGGATGTCTTAATTGTTGGGGAACCGCAAAACTGAACTCGTTCATGAAAAAAATACCTAGCTGTTGGAGGAACGACTTGGATGAACTTGTTTCCAGGACTGCCAAGTATCGAAACTCTTGCTTCTGCAATTTCTTACATCACTTGATCTATCTATATGTATATCATCACAGGTTCCGCGCACCTACTGCAGCTGCAGGTTTCGCCGCCATCTTCCTGTGCTGTCATTCGAGTAACACTTCCAGACCCAAAGATTCCAACATGTTTTGATGTCGATTCTTTTCTTTGTATGTGGTTGTGTGTGTGTGCGCGACATGCAAACAACACTTACTAGGTGCATCGTGGTGACCAATCAGACCTCTACCTCGTCCCTCTTCACCCGACGTGAAGCCGAGGTCACCTATGCCTTGGCAGTGCTTTATGGATCCACCTTTGCAATAGGCGGCTGGTTCAGGGCGCTCTGAAACCGGTGTTTTGGGGAGCGCCCAAAGAAACCATCGGTGGAGGCAGCGAGACGGTTGAAAAGCCATTCCAAAACCCTTAGGCGAGGAGTCCCACGGCTCAACCTACGTTTTTGAGGGATCTTGAAGACGGGAGCTGTCAGCCTTGAGGATGGCGTTCCAAACGGCCACGGACTGTGTGTGCCGACTTTACGAGGCTTGGCGCCTCAAGAACGGATCTTCAGTTTTCTACGCCAGGGTGGCAGACTGGTCACAAACAACGTCCAAAACCGTCCCAAACGTGGGACAATTAACACGGCCGCAAGCAAACGATACCATGTTTTAGGTGTTTTGCTGGTTCTTGTACATGTATACGACATGTCTAAGTAGTTGGGGTGGGGTGGGGTGGGGCATGTTGTTCATGTTAACTGGGGTGGGGTGGGGTGGGGCATGTTAGCGTTCATGTGCACTTGTGTGGGACGTTGATGTTGTGGGTTATGTTAACGTTCATGTTAACTGGGGTGGGATGGGGCATGTTAACGTTCATGTGCACCCTGGGATGTTGATGCTATGGGCTATGTCAACGTTCATGTTAACTGGGGTGGGGTCGGGCATGTTAACGTTCACGTGCACTTGCGTGGGTCGTTGATGCTATGGGTTAACGTTGATGCGTGGGACGTTAAGATCTGTGAGAGAATCTTCCAATGGATCTATCGGCATAATTCCAGAGTATAGCACCGCAGCCAGTCCAAGCAGCAAAGTGGCCGCTGAACAACTTTTTGTCGTAAGTCGCACAATTCCATGCTTTTATAACATGGTATCACGGCTTTTCGCAACCGTGCGCTTTTGATCGTGGGTGAGCAAATCGCCTGCCCTTCGGGTACGTTTTAATGCTATGTTTTTTCCCAGTGCCGTCTTGCACGGTGCTGTCGTCTGCGCTTTTCAACAGGTGTGAAGTTGTGCTGTTGGGGGGCTCACGTCTAGACTCTGCTGGCGCCCAGTGGCTGGTGGCTGACGACCGAACTGAGCGTTTGAGCAAGGAACTCGCTGCTATGAGAAAGCTGGGTTTCGCTTTCAGAGCCAATCAGATGCAGCCTTGGGGACCACAGGAGTTCCCAGCATCGAAATGGCAGCGGTACCAGGTGCTTAATCTCAAGAACAGACCCGAGCCGACCAAGCGGTGATGCCGACCCAGCGGTCAGGTTCACCTGGTTGAAGTCTGGAGCTCGCTTGACAGCTTTTTATTGGGATAGAACTACATAGTGCTTGGAAGATTCGGCCCATCTAAGATCGTTTGTTTTCGCTGTCAACATTTGTTTGGTTTCAAATGCAGGAAACAACTGATCCCATATCCACAGACGTGGGGTCATGTGAGTAGTTCACAGGTAGACTTGATGTTGAGGGCTGATTGAGTGAAGAGGAAGGCTGATCGAGCGAGTCATCCTCGCACCTAGCTTGGAACTCTATGACACTGATCGGAGTGGCCTCGTGAAAAACCTCCATCACCCGGAGGGCCCCAAAGGCCTGATTTTGTTGGGCTCATGTGGACTATTCCAAGAACAAGGGTCCTGAAATGCGAGCCACGGTAGTATAGTCCTAAGCCACGGCCAAGGGTACGAACCTTTGACAAGGCGCGTGGAACCTCTCTAGGTGTTGCTTCAGACCGCTCGCATTTTTGGGCTTGGAATGGAGGAATCGCATCCCAGGCTGAATCTTTTTCCCAAGCCTGCAGGGAACTCGTCCGACCCACGACCACCCACCGTCCGCACCAAACCCGCCCGCAGGCCATGCCTTGTTTGGTGGGGTGGAGCAGCAACAGTCGGAGATTCGCTCCGCCTTGGTCCGGTGCCTTAGACATGGCTGTTCGTTCGCATGCGGGTTTGGTGGTGACGTGGGGGCCTGCCAAGCTGCGAGTTTTGGGTGAATTTCCTGGATTTTTAGTTGATTTGTGCCCAGAGTGGTTCCAGACTTTTGAAGTTTTGACTCATCCTTCACATGTTTTTCTTGGCTTTGCATAGAAGCTTTCTAGAACAGCTGAAACTACCCAGCGTAAATCTATCTTGTCAACTGACCCTTCAGGAACCCACACTTTGGTGTGTGTTTTCTAAAAACGGCAACTAAATTGGTTGTACATAGCTGTTGGCCTGTGGGCCAATATTAGGCCAAGATGGGTGGAATTCCTGCGAAACTTGCCACGCATTCGACCGTTGCGGAAGTTTCAACTTGAAGTGGCACCTTTGGTAATACTGCTTCCTTGTTTCAACAAGACAAGAGATGATGCTTTTGTGATTTCACAGTCACGTGATCCCATGTGGAGAACATGGATGATGCCACAAAAGTCCATGCCAACCATGACCGAGGCCAGTCGCCTTGTGCAAAGCCCGCAAGATGCGCAGACGGCCGTTGGACGCCTGGGGGGGATCTTACTTTGGGAGAGATACGGAGCACATGGCTGACATGTCGAAAGCACCCAACGCAGCAGCATTTGGGAAGGTTTTGAGTGAATTTGCCTTAGGAAGGAACAGCATACTCACCATTTTGAGGCACTGCGATTGAACATCGTTCCCTTCTCTGCAATCGCCTGACACCCCTCTACTGTAGAGGCGGTGTCCGTCCGGGTCATCGCATGTGACGAGTGACTTCGAAGGATAGAGATCTAGGGCCTAGAGAAACGAACCTTCTTTCTCCTTGTGGAAAGGCCCACGCATGGATAGCACCCTGCTGGGTGGCACCGGTCCCCCCAGGTGCTGGCGTCGTTGTACATAAAGGAGCAACCCATCAAGTGGAAAGTCCCATTGAGCCTGGGGAGCACAAGAGCGAACTGGATGGGAACTGGATGGGAACTGAATGGGTGAAAGGGGCCCGGGGGATCCAAGCAACTGGACCTCTCAGAGTTTCTGATAAAGCGGCATCAAACATCCACCCACTTTCATTGAGGAGCAGATACTACCCCGAGCTTGGCACAACAATTCTTGTTGAGTCCAGCGTTTGATCCCATTCTCCGGCCCAGCTTCCGACCTCTCATGTGACTCAGGTCTTCGGTCTTCAGATTGAAAGGGCTCCCACATCGAGACTTGAAACACTTGAGAGACTTGCGCAGGTCTATTTGTAAAAACATGGACGTCAACACACATCCATCTAAGTGATGGAGTCTGTTTCCATCTTCTGAATCGGTTTTTCGGTCTGTCACATCTATCTTCTATCTTCAGAAGATGGAAACAGACTCCATGAACAGATTGGACACCTCCACTCCTTGTTGCCACCGTCGGAATCGGAGGGACTGCGTGACGACGGAGGACGTAAGACCGGGGACTGGTGATCTGGGCCAGCAGGCATCCGTTTTTTGGGGAAATCAGAGACATACCAGAAGCACATTTGGATGGGCTCCAACATCGGTTCACAGGAGCTTTTGCCAGAAAATAATCTCAAGAAAACAGGTCCCAAACTCCATCCATTCGTTCATTGATCCTTGTTCTCTTTGATTTTGGGCTTTGATCGGACTCTCTCTTTCTCGACCAACGTCTGAGCTCCAGCCGACTCTAGCCCGGCCGGTTGTCCACTCAGAGTTCCCTCTGAATCAGGTCCAAAGTGGCCAATGGCGGGGACCTTTGAACGTTTCCAGGCAAGGCCGGCGGCGTTGAATGCGGTCGACCGCCTTGGGACAGGGGCTCGGAAGGTGAGTGAAGCATCCGTGGACCACCAGATCCTTTGCCGGTGAACTAGACGGAACGGAAGGCAGACATCTCCTGAAGGGGGTATGTAATAGTGTCGGGAGAGCCCCCCAAAGACCCCCTGGAAGAAGGAACATAGATAGACAATCCACTGGGCCAGGGCCAGGGTGTCTCCTTGTTTCAATGCACATTCAAGTAGTTTGGAAGAAAGCTGGTATCGATTGTGCTGCCTCATAAAGGCATAAAGGCATAGCTGCAAAACACACTAGAGTAAGTGGAGGCAAAACACCGGACTCATCAACTCCTGCCTGCAAAACAACCATCACCAACACCTCCAGATGACTTCCCCACCGGTTCCCCCACCCGTTTGACACCGTGAAAGACCCCGTTTTGGCCCTGGTGCCACGGGTCTGCCGTGCCACTCAGGGCGCTCTCTTGGTGGGAAGCTGTGCAGGGAAGGTCGGCTTGCAGCTGATCGAAGCGGGGCTCCAGGCGACCGCTCCGGGCTGTGCCGGGTCCGGGCTGTGCCGGGTCCGGGCTGTGCCGGGTCCGGTGGAAGGCGCACCGTAATTGTAAATCGGTGAGCGGCTTGCGGAAATGGATTGGTGGCTTTGAGATTCTAGATGTTGAAGCCGGTAGTGGTTGAGAACGAAGTTACTAAGAACTACATATTAAGAATTCAGAAATAAGATCCATGTCAGATGAAGTCCTGGCCTCTGCTGTCCTGGTCTCGTGTGGTGGGTTGGTCTTGAGGCAAGAGTCAAAGCAGAGACGACAACAACAACAGCAACTTCTGCTTTTTCTACTACTGCTACTGCTACTACTGCTGCTACTACTACTACTGCTGCTGCTGCTGCTACTACGACTACGACTACGACTAGGACTAGGACTAGGACTAGGACTAGGACTAGGACTACGACTACGACTACGACTACGACCACCACCACCACCACCACGACTATGACTACGACTACGACCACGACCACGACCACGACCACGACCACCACGACCACGACCACGACCACCACCACCACCACCACGACGACCACGACCACGACCACGACCACGACCACGACCACGACCACGACCACCACCACCACCACCACCACGACCACGACCACGACCACGACCACGACCACGACCACGACCACTACCACTACCACTACCACTACCACTACTGAAGCCACCACAAAAGCACTAGCTTGCCACGAAATCTGGTTTGTCAAGTGGAACTCTCTTCTTGCCCCGCCACAGGCGACACCTCATGAACTTTTCGTGGGCCATCCCGGTGCAACAGGAAGGAGCCTTTCCAACCCCACAGTGTCTCAGCCTTGGGGCAGGCAGCAGACCACCCAGGCTGAAGGGCTTTGACAAAGTAAGTAAAACAAAAAAGAGCAAGTTCGACGCTACAACCCCCCAGGAAATCTGACACTCAGAGCCCAAGAGTGCTGCGAGCATATCAGGTCACGACAGACATGAGAAAGCTCAAAATGCTGAAGGTCCCGTGCGGTGAATACTCGCAAATCAGAGAGTATGCCTTGATGCTGTTGACTTGCTTTTGGGGTCTAATGACATCTCCAATGCTTTTGTGTTTTTTTCTAAGTGCTGATTCCCAAAGGGCTGATTTCGCACCAGCAAACAAGTGAATGAGACGAGCAGATCCCACCCTGGGAGCCCAAGAGCTGTGTTTTTGTGTCGTGTTGCTCACACACGAACGCCCAATGTGCTGAAGGTGCTGAAGGTGTTTTTAGAGGGGTGTACATGCAGGTCAGGAACTATTTTTTTTGATTGTGACGTCTTTGTCAATCCAATGTTTCATTTCCTGGGATCCTCCACAATTTTTGCAACTCCGCCTGTGAAAATCAACTCCTCATTTGTGTGTCCCTCGCCCTCATCATTGTGGTTTGGCTTTCTGCTGACACCGTCCCGGCACAACACCGTTCGTTCTTCGTTCGGTGGACGAGCGTCGAAGCGGCTCTCGAGGTGCAAAACGAGCTGTCTGAAGCGACGAAGTCCAAGCTGAAAGACAAGTTTAAGAAGTTGTCGCCAGACACACTCCTGGCCCGCCCGCCACTGGGCAGGAAAGGATGGGGATGGGCCAAGTATGGCAACTGTTTGAGAGGAAGAACATGTTCCAAGCATTTGGGGAAGCCTGCGACAAAATTCAATACCATTCAGTTGTTTGATCCAACCGATCGTTCTATTTTGGTGACATGTTCCAGGCAGTGCTCCTTCCTTCTCGTTCTAAGCACCGAAGAGCGTTCAGCAGCTGTTCCAAGGGACTCGGAGAACGTGAAGCAAAAGCAGAGGCCGAGAAGGGCGAATTCGAATGGAGAATGACCTCAGCCAACAGTGGTGGTGGTGGTGGTGGTGGTGGTGGTGTGATGTGTGGTGACGGTGTGGTGTGTCACTCATTCTTTTTGGAGGTTTTCCAAGGTCGTTGACGTATGGCGTCTAGAGGTGGACGCCTCGTCCAGTGATATAGCAACTATATACTTCCTAGATGGCATGACGCAGTGTGTTTTCCATGATTTAGGTCCAGGCTGCCATCTGCCAACTACCCCGCGGTAGGTCCTGGCCGTCCTGGCTGCCGCGATTGCCAAGACTACAGCTACCTTGGAGGCAGCTCTTGGTGAAGCTCTCTGACACTGGGTAAAGAAAAACAATGCTTAATCGGGGATGTTTTTGAGGGCAGTGGCAGCTAGGTAAATTGGCCTCATTGCCCTCCTGCACCTTTTACATTCAAGATACATTTGTGCATGCTTCCTGCTGTGAAGTCTCATGCTTCATGCATGTCCTGTACTTTTGAGAAATTGATTGTATTTGACGGTATTTGACCTTCCCATGATGGCCCATCAGCATGAAACAAAAGGGCTGCTAGTATGGGTAGCACAACCATCAAGAAATGAATAACTCCATTGTCCATGCAGTCTCTCTGGGAGACCTCTCATGCATGAATCAATGCAGACCTCTCAAATTTTCTTGACCATAGAAGTGAGACTACACTCCCCCACTCCCCCAAGTGAGACCACACTTGAGAAGATGACTGAAGTTTTTGGGACTACGATCAACCCCTGTCCCGTCTGTTTTCTTCCGTGCCCTGCTCTCGGACCACAGGCAACTTTCATTGCCGAAGAACATGATGCAGGCGCATCCCCTGAAACTCGTAGTGGGATCCCTGGGCATCAAGATTGGGATCGTAGGGGAGTGGTACTGTGGGCTTGCTTGTTAGACCAGAATCAGATTCATGATCAGCACGGAAGAACCAGCCCTGACGGGGTATACACCTGATTGGCAGAGAGAAGAGAAAGCCCGACGGGTGGATGACGGGTATACACCGACAGGTGACTCTCTCGACAGGTGACTCTCTCTGACCGTTTTTGAGTGGAGAGCTCAACGTTGAAGGTTTGGTCGCTGCACTGTTGGGGAGATGAAACGCAGGACCTGGATGTCTACGTAACATGAGCGCATGAAGGACGGAGGAAAACGAAGGGGTCAAAGGAGTTGTGTTGCATTAAGGAGTTGAGCACCACAGTGTTTTACCATCACTCTCTGTTTTACCGATGGTTTTGCCTGAGATGTTCGCATTCTAGATGAAAGATGCCGAATTGGCTTTGGCAATACATCCTGCGTTCTTTACCCGAGTTCCGAGGATGGTTTCGTGGGTGGGCTGAAAACACCTGACCAAACCAGGTGACCCTCGTTGGAGGGTTAAGAATGAAGCCTTCGCTCCAGGTGGTGCAGTCCGCCGGACCCAAGATCAACGCCAAAGCGTCTCTTTCACTGCAAGACGTGGAGATGGAGGACGGTTGAGGGAAGGGTTGAAGGGGAATGATTTGGGAACTCTGTGTGGCACTGATCCGTCCACTGGGTACATGGTCGGCAGTGAAATTCTGGAGTGTGAAGTGAATCACTAAAATTTTCTCCCCCTGGTACAAAGGAAGATTTGAGGGTATTGCTGGAGCACCGGGGTAGGCCTCCAATTCAGTTGCTGAATCAGGTTCCAAACGCGTTACCCACAGAAAGCCTCTAGTGAAGAGACAAATGATGGCTGATCGGAAAACTGACTTTTGGTTGGGGGGGATAGACTCAGCGTGCAAGAGCTTGATCTTCTTCACGACCGTTTCTTGCAAAGACTCTCACAACTGTTTCAGTGCTAAGGTGGTGTCAGTAATTTGATTAGTGCTGTGACACTTACAGACGGGATGATAAAACCTTCCCTGCGAACTAAAGAAAAGACCTTCCAATACGGAACCAAACCTTCAGTAAATAATAGATGTTGGAACATCATATAGGCTACTAAGTATTTTGCTCCTTTTGTATTGTTGCATGTTCAGCGTCCTGAGAATAGCTAGTAGCTAGACCTACATTCTCTATGGTGTTTTGGTTGAAATACGAGCTGTTAATTTCTGAAATGTGCACGGTCCATGTGGAACATGCTTTTGGAGCCTTGAGCAGTGGAGCTCTCATCGCAATCTACAGGATCCCAACGTCAACGGATTCGCTACTGAAGTCCACCAGCAGTGCAGGGGAAGTCCCTTCGAGTCCCGGATGAATTCGGACGCCAGCTGCCTGGCGGATCGCGCCACCTGCCTGGTCCTGGTGTTCCAAGGTGCTTCCTCCAAACCTCCCAATCTCCCAACCAGGGCGACGGCGTGGTTTCCGAGGCATCAGCAGTCAAGCCCTGCCTTGGCCTTCGTGCCTGCAGGCTCGTCGGCGAAGGCGACCACCGGATGGGCGGATGGCCGGATGGGACGAGTTGACGAGTGGACGAGTCGTTCGGGGAGGTTCATGTGGCGCATCTCAAGAGCCGAAGCCATAGAAGTCCACAACACTTGGTGTGACTGCTGTTGGTTGGATTTTGGACCAAAGACTGAGCATCAGCGTGTAAGATGTATTGGATGGCACGACTTGTGTCTTCGTTCTGACGCAGTTCGACCCTTGTCGACGTTAGCCTGCTTTGCTGCTCCCCACTTCTACTTACCCTCTGACGAAGCTCATCACATGGTTACGTGGATGGCATGGTCCCGAAAGGAAGACCATTTTCCTCTACCAAACAGGGAGGGGGGGTGAATTCCACTTCCATGTGATGTCAGGTCTTGGCACTTCTACTGCTCGCTCTGCTGCAGGCAGGCAGGAAATGGGATCGACCAACAACACGCCCAAATGGCTGTGGCAAAACCGGGACCCCTTAATCCCTGGTAGGTTGACCTCCCCAGTAGTCTGTTCATTCCCGGTGGTCAACGGGCTCCGCCGGGTGACTAGCGATCAGTCCAATGAGTGGTAGGGTGTGTTCACACCCTTGCAGATCATGTGAGCTGGGCTCAAAATTAGTGAACGTGACCAATGGTCAGTGAGTGGTCATTGGAGTTCAACATTCATGTATCGCTCAAAAAGGATAATCACAGTCACCAAAAACAACAACAACAACAACAACATGACGGACATTAACAGACGATGATACACAGAAATAAACTCACCAAATTATCCTGATGGCCCGCAACTCCACAACCAATTTTGATCCTCACTCAAATGTGATCCAGGCAGTCCAAATGCATGACTCCTTCGAAGACCAGCAATTCCTGCCACCTCTCCCTTCCAGCAAGCTG